GGGCCTTCCCCTGTGCCCCGTGGGGCTCCAGCCTGCTGCAGAGCAGGGCAGGGCTTGCAGGCTGCCTTATATTTCAGCAGCCATCTCTTCTGCAGAGCTCCCAGGTCACAGATTTATTAGTTGTTAGTAATTGTCCTTCTGGATGTTGATAAAGTACATAGGGAAAAATATACTGAACAGTAACTGGGGTTTCTTTTCGGTGCTGGAGTTGGGTGCATCTCCTAATGCACACTAGGAGCGTAGACTGAGTAGAGGGTCCTGTGGAAGCTCATTGTTGGAGAAACTGATTGTAATTGTTTTTCAGAAGTGGATATATTCATTTCAGGACCCTGCTTATTAAGCTTCCCCATGGAAGGAGTGACAGCCTTCCATGCATGGTCCTTTTCATGCAGATTGAAAACCTCTCTCCACAGCTGCGTGTCTTTTTCTAACTCTCGGTTCTGTGTTAGAAGCTCACAGGTAACGGTGAGTTTGCATGCTGAGAAGGCTTTGGTTAGGCCGAGGCACCACAGAATCATAGACTATCTCAAGTTGGAAGAGATCCATAAGGATCATTATGTCCAACTCCCTGCTCCTAGCAGGACTGCCTAAAATTAAACCATATGACTAAGGAAGGTCAGCTGGTTTCACGTCCAGTCCTTAATCCTGACTGTCTTTGCAGCCTGAAATTAATCATAGGCCAACATTTTTTGAATGTCGATGTCTGAAGTTAGACATCCAAATTTGTAGTTAAGCATGTAAGTAGGACTGTGCTGATTTTTATAAACACTGAGTCCCACAGTGTCTTTACATGTTATATTGTGTGGGGGTTTGCAGCATTACTGAAAACTAAATGTGGATTTAGGTGCGTAAGGTAAGACAGCCAAGTTTGAGAATGTCAGCCTTGACATATGCAAACTTAATTTTTTTGCCCCTCTGTTAAGCTAGCGTGGTAAGGCTTACCTGGCTGAAAAGGATGCCATGAGGGCTGATGGACAGTGAGTTTGCTGATTATGACAGTGTTTTGATCAACCAGTAGCTGATATTTTCCGGTCTATGAATAAAGCCAGTTATTGTTACAATATAAGGAGGGAGATATCTTCAGACCCATTGCCCAAACATAGTGCAGTTGTGCAAATGTAGCAATCCAGTACATTTCTGAATATCAAGACTGTGCTGTTAAACACAGCCTGGTTTGATCCACCCTCCACCAAAACAGATGAACTGCAGTTTCTTAACGAGCAGTGAGATAGCTTCTTAGAGACATGTGCAATATCATACTGATGAGATAAGGGCTCCTTTGTGGTGCTCTGGATTCATAAGCATGCTGGCTCCATGGGCTGGGCAGAATATTTGCGCATGTTATTTAAAAAAAATTTCCACTGTTTTAGTAAAGTTTTGGGGCCACATTCCAATCTTATTCTCGTCACATATCTCTGGCATAGAGAACAGAGGAGCTCACAGCTACGTTGGGGGCTAACTTCCTTTTCATCACGTGGGGACCAAAACGTAGAGCTCTCCTTTTAAATTCCTCTGCTCCGGGTTTATAGTGGCAAGGACATATTCATCTTGCTTCGTAATATAAAGGGAGCGAATTCCATGGCATCCTTTAAAGGACTAGATTTGATGGAAATAAGTGCAAGTGCAGCTTTTGGCTTGTTACAGAGTTAAGCTCCAGAGCATGCGTGTTAAAAAAAAAGTTCCCAGTGAATGTCATATTGTTTGCAGGCAGAAGAGTCTTCAAGCCTAGTATCCGTCTCCCTTCCGTTTCGTGAGTGCTGTGACAACTCTGCCCCTTTTGGGGACAGACCAAAGTCTGCTGCAACTTTGTGTGGAACGTGTATCAAAGCCTACTTTTGTCTTGCTGAATTCAATGGGAATTTTGTCTTTAAATGTAGCGGCAGCCCTGCTGGATTCCTTCTGTTATAATTTATTCTTTAAGGAGTTTATGTCCAGAAATACTGACTGCCTCTTGCTTCCAGAGACTTAAACATGAGCTGACTGCTTATCACCCTTGAAAGGTGGGGTTCTTCCCTGCAGAAGATTCCAGTTTAAACAGACAGGCGTAATTGCTCAGAGACAATTTTTTCCCTTGGCTCCTGATGAAACTGTCTTAAGTCAGGCTTGGTTTGGTTTGGTGTGCTTTGATACAGAGGTGTGACACTGCTTTGCACGTAATTGGGTTAACACTGAAAGCGTTGTCTATTTTGATTAACATGGTGCAGTTTCTCTTTAGCAGGTAGAGAGCCAGTACAGACACAGAATCATTTTGACTGCCAGAAAAAAACATTCTTCAAGCAAATGTGTTTATCAGATACTTGATCAATCTTTCAAAATGCAGCTGTTGAACAGAACCAGCACAAGCAAATGTGTTTTCTGTGGTTTTAAATGTGTCAGAAAGGATCTTGACTTTTAAGAAATGCACTGACTGTGTTGTTTTTTCACTCCGAAGCCATGAAGCTGCTTTGCTCCAATTTGGATTCAAGCATCTTGTGCAGCACAGAGCTGTGTGCGGTACACAACTGCTGGAATTGTTTCTTTTTTTAACTAAGAGATTGGCAGCCACTTGGATGAGTCACGATCATGAGCCTAATTTTAGCTGGTATGTATGTATTGGGAGAATCTACCAGAGACGGTTGCGTCTCAAGGGTTGAGAGAGGTGAAGTGAATTTAGTTTTGGAGGTTCTTAGAAATCAGCTTTTGTGTCTGAATTCTGTTTCTTCTCTTGTGGTTTTGTACAGTAATATTATATGACGTTTCTGGTGGAATTCACCTAATTTCTTCACCTTCAAAGAGTTTATCAGGAGACAATCTAGAGTGACATCAGTGCTTTGATTGATGCTTCTTGGGTATTTGTTTGACTTGTGTTTGTGTTTTGAACATAATGGAGTCCAGAGTTTAAGCTGTCTGTGGCGTCCCACTTCATTTGTTAATTTATCCGTACGCAGCCTCTGCTGGTTTCCTTGAGCTGACATGAGAAAATAGCATCCAGGAAGGTGTGATAGGATGTAGATTGAGAAGGAGTTGAGGGCAGTCAGAGCCCTCCAGTTGTTCAGGCTGCATAACCTGGCTGCTGGCACTCGTGCCACTGTTTAGTGACTGCTACCGTTATTTTAAAGCAGTAAAGTTATTCTACTGAATACTGCATTTTGCTCTGTTGGTCCACCCGTGTCAAAGTCACACAAGCTCTGGCAGGAGCTGGTTCCTACTTCTGGCAGCCCATTAGGAACGCAATGCGAACAGTGGTGCCTGCCTTTAAATGCTGCGGGTGTGAGAAAGAAAAGTCGTGTGCTTTTTATGGCATCTTGCCGTCCCTTAATGCATTATTCCTGTTTCCTGTGAGGCAAAGGTGTCAGATTGGATTGTGCAAGGCTCTGGAGGCCAAGTTGTCATTTACTGCCCGTGTGCAGAAAGCAGCCATTCGTAGTACCCTCTTCTGCTTTGTGTTCTGCTAAGCTTCCGTGTGCACTTAGGTACTAAACTACCATATGTTGTTTAGAGAGGATGCAAAGGCAGTGTATCATTTTCCACTTAATCAGGATGCTCCTAATCGGGAAATTGCCCAGAGAACTAATTAAAGCCAATGTACTCAATAACTACTGTTTAAGAGACACAGTAATTCTGCTTAGCAGGAACATCCTCAGGTGATTTACAGGTACCTGGGCCCCGTCCCATTTTTAAACTGAACCTGGCCTGATTTCTCCTAGGAGAGTTCTTACTTCTGTCTGAGTTACGATGCAGGGAATGTCTGTACAAACAACTTCTCTCACTCTCTTGATCTGTGTTGAAGCTCTATCTTTTCTAGACCCAGTAGGCAGAGCGTCCTTCCTGTTGTTGCTTTGGCTGGGGAGCCAGCCCTGCTCCTGCTGTGGGCAGAGATGCTTCTTCCATTATGTCGAGGAGTCTCAGGCTGGTGGTGGTGGTGCTGATGGTGACGGTCCCACTTAAGCTTTCCTTATGCTGAGCATAAACACCTCCTGGTCGTGGACACGTGTTCCTGATTTGTGCAGCTTCTTGTGTTGTCCTGGCAAACTGTTTGTTCAGCTGTGCAGCAGCTAAATCTGGATACCGATCTGGCTGAAAAATAACCCAGAGAAAGGGGGAAAAAAGAAGAGAAGAGAGGTGTCTCCTCCAAATCTGTTTTCTAGCCTGGTTTGCTTTGTGGCTGCACAAACAGCTGTACAAGCACAAAGCAGGGAGTGGTGGGAATAAGTGGGTGAGGTCAGGGAGAAGGGAGGCTATTTAAGCCAGCGCTGCTGCCAAAACCTTACTTGCCAAATTACTTCTCAGCCCCTCTGTTTTCTTGAACATTTCCTCACATCTGCTTTGTCACAGTGAACTCTTATGGATGTTACCACTTCTGCATAATAACGTAACAGCTGTACTGGTTCAGACAAAGACTTCATCTAGCCCAATATCCTGTCTCCAACAGTGGCCATAATAAGCAGACCCAGGGGGTAAGAAGGGGACAGGCATGTTTCATACTTCTATGAATGTTCTGTCAGCCTCAAACAATGTTTAGCTCAGGGGATTTCTTGAACCTGATACAGTTCATTTACACAGTAACTCTCAATGGATCTCTTGAGTACTTGTCCAAGTCAAGTACTCCCCTAAAGGCCATGTAAAATCGTAGTGTTCATGACATCTTTTGGCAAGGAGTCCCACAGTTTTCCTACTTGGGATAATCTTGAAGTCCATAGGCAGCAGAGACCTATAGTACCAACAAGAAAGGGCCTGGGACCATGCTGGTCCAGAGAGTGACAGTTTTGGGAGCAGCCCAGGACTGTCACACCTCTGCTCAACAAGTTTGTCCTCCAGACCAGGGTAGCTCCAGCTGCTCCTCCTGTTGGGACTGACCTCTGGCTCACCATGGCTCTCAGGCCATGTCTGGGGATTGTTGACTGTGTTGGCATGAGCCGAATAAATGTGGGGTCCCTCAGTGGCTCCCAGCATGGGCGGGTGAGTTCCAGTGCTCAGGGATGTTCCCTGGCGCTTTTTAATTTCCAGAAGGAGGTGCAGCCATGATGCCTTCAGTGAAACCTGTGTGGACTAACATCATTGGGGTGTTAGATCCTAGATCAGCATTTTTAACCTTTGAGGGTTTAGGAAGATGATAATTTCCTCTAGGAGATGATAGTGCTTATTTAGTGTACTTAATTGAATAATTCCATTGAGTCAGGTTTAATGCCCAGTTCAGTGACGTATTCAGTTCATCTGTGACCTATTGTCATTATTTTTACTAGTATATCTTTTTACATAGTGTTGACTCACCTATGCATCAGATAAAAATACTGGAGAAAAGGCATCCTTGAAGAATTGGAAGTATCATGAAGTTGGTAACACTCGTTAGCTACTGCTCAGCGCAGATGAAATGTTTGGGTTGTCTCAGTCCAGTACGTGAAAGAAAGATCTGAAAGGACACTTGCCATTAGCCAGTGAAGGGTAATTAAGTTCTCAGCTGGTCTGCTCAGCTGAAATGGCCAGGAAGAAGCTCTCAGGTTGCACATTATGTGTTCTTCTCTAAGGTGTATGGATTGAGTTCATACCAGCCAGTGGAAAAGCTTGCAGCCTGCATCAGTTTTGTGGGCGAATGAAAGTTTTTTAGATCCAAATTGTGGTGGTTTAACCCCAGCCAGCAACTAGGACCACGCTCACTTACTCCCTGCCCCCTCCCTACCCCGTAGATAGGGAGAAAAGAAGGGAAAGGAAAAAAACTTGTGGGTTATATAAAGGCAGCCTAATAGAACAGTAACAGAACAGGAACATAATAAGAACAACAACAGCAATAATAATGGTAAAAGAATATACAAAATAATGTAATACAACATAAGCTGCTCTCACCACCCAGTCATTGGTTGCCCAGGCCATTCCAAGCAGCGATTGTGGATTCCAGCCTCCTGGTCAACCCCCCTGAGCATGATGTCTATGGTATTCGCCAGCTTGTTCTGTCTGTGCACCCTCTCCGTTTGTTTGGGAAGCTGAAAAAGTCCTTGATTAAGGTAAATGTCACATAGTGACAACTAAAGCAATGTTTTATCAACATTATTCTCATACTAAATCCAAACCACAGCAGCCACTAGAAAGAAAACTAACTCTATCCCAGATGAAAGCAGGACACTAATGCTTGTCTAATTCCATTGGGATTCATGCTAGATCATAAACTGGATAACTCATCATTTTCTGTGCACATCTGTGCTTTGTGATGGACTGAATTGCAGCACTGCCTGAGAAGGGTGAATCCACTGAGACAAGGCTACGTTGACAAACTAGGGCAAATTTTAAATGTTTGTTTAGTGATGTGTTTGATGGAGATGATAATTGTTGCTAGAGTGTACATGTCTGTTTACTGGGATGAGAAGGAAAACTCTTCATCTCTTTTCACCTGATGTTCATCATGTTTCTCATGATAATCCGTGCTTGGGCCTGCAAGGCAGTCCTGAGCGGTGCGGTTCTGCCTGAGCCACCCGAGTTGCTTTGTCAATAGGGAACACACAGAGAAAGAATAAAATCACCTGGTATTTATTTGCACATTAAAATCTTTTTATGAATAGGCTGTACCCTCCTTTCTTCTGTCCCCTTGGGATGTGATTCCCCCTTTGTAAGATATTTGCAATTTATGTAAATGATTGCGATTGCCAAACTAATCAAACCAAGGACAAAAGCAATCACAGCCGCTCATCTAGCATCCAGCTTCCTGACTCCAGCCCCCGCATTAGCTTCTACTTCATTAAAATATATATGACCCAATTCAAGAGCTAATTTGGACGAAACCATTAGACTTCTATCCTCATCACTGGTAGAAGTCTGAGGTTCATTTTCACACACGAGTGAGCAGTTGCAGCTTTAAGATGCATGAAGGTTATTGCTGTGTATGTGCATATGAAAGGGAGAGGGAAAGTGGTAGACAGTGGACATACTCATTATTTCTGTAACAACATCGTTTTGTAAGGTCTTATTTGTGCTCCACCTGTGGAACGCTAGGCAGGATATAAAAATATATGGGTGAGTTAAACACGTGAATGGAAAATTGAGCCTCTGAGAAGGGAGAGTGGCAGGATGCTCATGTTGCACTGTAACTGTTGGGTAGCTGATAGAAAAGTTGGTGGCAGTCTCAGTGGAGTCCCTGGTGGAAGATGTCTGGTCAGATCTCCAGAGTTCTTTGGACCAAGCCCAGAGAATCTCTACACATTCTGCAAAATTGTTTTGGTTTGGTTTTTTTTTCATATTAGATAGCTGTTTTAAATGCCTTAACTTCAAAAGAAGCCCTTATCAGGCAGATTTTGCAAAAATACTCAGAAGATCCACAGGTTCAGAATCTCAAGATAGTTTTTAATCTGGCAAATCCGTGTAATTTCTCCCAGTAATTTCCCGGTGGTGGGAAGGCTGCCATGACTGGATTGTGTCAGTAATATCTCGCGGCATGTGTGGCTGGCAGGGGTTTCTTCCCTGGAGCCACTATCTGGGGTATCAAGTTCCTTTCCGGCCTGATGGATGAGTCACTAGAATCTCTGTTTTGTTTGTGCATTTGATCAGAGATCATCAGGCAGCCGTCACCGTGATTGACTAACTCCGCGCCAAGTGTCAGGCAAACGTAGCTGAACTGAAGTAACGCGAGTGACAGCTAAAGAATAAGCAACAATCTGTCTTTTCAAATGAGTTGTTGTGTTGGCAATTTGACAAATTGTACGGTGTAACCGAAAGTTCTAGTTAATGTGTTACATTACTTTATTTCAAAATATTCTGTTATGAATTGCTTACGTTTAAATTCTGCTGGGTAGAATGCTTAATGATATCAGTACAAATACAATAAAATTGACACAAAAATGCTGAGACAGTGCAAGACTTCTGAGATTTATTCCTAAATATACTTGCAAATTCCTGTTTCAGCATTTTAAAAAATAATTTGACATTTTTGTTTTCTACAAAATGGAATGTAATAGGAGAGTTCTCAAAGAAGGAGAAAGGGTGGGATTGAAAACAATTTGTTTGCCCTCAGAAAACCTCCTGCAAACTTTTGCTCAGCAGATTTATTTGGGTGCCATACCAACCGTTTGATCTAGTTCGTCTGCCTTGCACGCGTAATGCAAGTTTTTCCTATCCTAAGAAAACCTCACTTCTTTTTTCTTTGAGTTTGATCAAAATTATTCTGGTTCCATGATATAAGGGTGACATTTTAATGGGACATGTAAATAAGGAGTATCTCCATGAACTCCAGTTTTATTCCAAAAATATACGCCAGGAATGTTGGAAGAATTTTCTTCCAAACTTTTGTTTTTCCTGGCTGGTTAATGCCTTGGGAGAGCTCACAGCTCTTGTGATCATCAGTATTTCCCTATGGTTTTTGAAATTACTCCCATTCTATAAGAAAATGTGAATCATGGGTAATTGAGCAGTGGCTGTATTAATTTATTATGACCATATTTCAAGGTCTTATAATTTGTTTTTCACAGTCTGACCAGTCAGTGTCTTGTACATGGCTAGGTAATGTATAGCTTGTAAAAAGTTTTACTGGAAAAATTAAAGTGTGATTTTAAACAACTGCAGTTTTACTGGTGTATGTCCCTGTGGGGGTATCCTTATTCTGCAATGATCTTTCCCCCCGCCTTTTTCCCTAGACTGACAAATCAAATTTGTTACTAATTTGAAACATTATCCTCTGATTCCAGAATAAGCATCCCCACATGATGAGCTATTTGCAAGCAATCAAGTGGCCATATTTTAAAAAGTTGCTGTGAAGGTGCTTCAGATGTCCTTGTTTTATTCTGGGTTGCAGAGGCCTAGGAATGGCTTGTCAGCTACCATGCTCCACTGAGAGTGCTAAGTCAATCACATGTGATCATTAAAAATGTCCACTGTCCACTAAATTGCTAATATTCTGTCTTGAGCTAAGATTGTTGAGATGTTTCCTTACAGTATTGAGGTGCTTTAGGTTTCCTGTGATGCTTGTTAGTCTGATACAGTGTGAAGACACGCTGTTTCTGTTGGCAGGTACAGCTTGCAGATTAAGCACCAGTTGTACAGCAGTAAGTCTCCTGTTTGTCTTTGTCCCTGCTACCTGATTGTGCTGTGGTGAAGATTTGTCCAGGAGTCTCCGTGCAAACAAGAGCAGACAGCAGGAACAGATTTTCATAACTATAACTTCTTTTAGGAGACCTTGCCAACTGCAAAGTTATTTTTTTTTGCACATGACATTCCTCAAATTTTCATCTAATCCCTGGTGATGATAACTGCATGTCCTTGGGAAGAAGCGTAGACTGCCGTTATCATCATTATGTTGAGGCTTGGGGCTCACACAGAAGACAGGGGGAAGCTGCTTGCTAGTTGTTCTGCTGAAAGCAAGGCAACATCTCAGTGTCACCCTGGTGGGGCTGGTGCTCTTCCTGCTGACGTGAAAGCTCTCCCTCACGTTTTGCTCTGATTTAAGCACCATTGGCATCAAGATGTGGCTGATATGACCAAGTTTATTCCTCAAAATGGGTTGATATCGGAGTTCACATAGGGGCTAGGTGGTTATGGCCTGACATAGATGAGGAGGAGCAGAGACCATTTAAATAGAAGATTACCAGCAAGTTATTGCAGAGAATATAACCCCTGCTTGCCCTGAAGGTATTTATCTGTTCTCCAATAGCTGAATTTACAATGACATCTTAGTGCCTGTGGCAACTAGCGCCATAAGAACTTTTTCTTTCAGATAACAGGCTTTGGTTCTAAATCTTTAAAAGGCTGTGGTACCTGGCGTATGGTACTGGAGGCGATGAGGTTGTGCTAAGTTCAGCAGACCCCGCCGTAGCTGCAACGAGGCCGGTCGGTGCCTGCGTGGCCAGTGGCCCCCCAGTGCATCGCCTGACTTGGGGCTACCTGCTCTGCAGCTGGGGAAGCAATTTTGGAGAGGAGAGCCAAGGGAAGGGAGGGGCTCTAAGGCTCTTCCCTCTCCCCTGTGCTCCTGTCAGCCCATGTCTGTGCGGGGTTCTCCACCGATGAGAAACTGGGTTTTTTTCTGGAGGACATATACCTGCTGGCATCACTCCAGAAAGTGTTAGACATGACAGTGCTTTTGAGATCTGTCATGGACAGCTGTGGGTGGAATCTCCTGGCAAGAGTTTAACAAAGAAAAAAAAGACAATTGCGCTAACCTCACTTTTCCTCTCCTATCTAAAAAAACTTGGATTTTGGCATTTTCTCTTCTATTTTCAGAAGGATGAACACTAATCCAGAGTTGATGATGATAACGGTCGATGGCTTTACTTTTGTTATGTAGTGAGTGTTATATTATACTTTTGTTCTGTGATTTATGGTTAAAAATAAAATTGCCAACAGTTCTGAGAATGCAGGGGAGGCTTGGCTAACACACACATTGAAATGAAAAAATAAATAGATGAAAAAAATTACATTCTTTATTAGTGAATATTTCTTTCAGGCTAATTTTTCTAAGGCAGATAATAAAATTATGTTATCTAAATTCAAACAACTATATTTAAAATATTTTATTACTTTGTTAGCTACTCCCTTTTTTACTGTATGTCCCTAGACTTTCGAAACACAGAGGTCATAATCTTAAAGAAATCCACCATTGCCTTAGTTTGCAAATTAGCTCCTTGAAATATCAGCTGTATTTATTTTTGCATTTAATAAATTAATTTATTAGGGAAGCAAGAAATTGATTATTCAATTACTGTGGATCAGGCACCAAACATCCTAGTGTGTTAGATGAAGCATGAAGCTGATCAATAAAAATCGATTTCATCAGCATTTCTTAGCAGTGAAGTAGCTGCTTGGGAAGAAGCACACACATGCAAACCCCTCTTTCCTCTAAATGTTTTCAGATGATGTGACTGAAACACAAATGTCCTGTGCAGTAGATCTGTGTATATAATCAGGGAATTTATGTATGAAATGCAGTTTGCATCATTCCTGGAAAAAAGTTATATACATGTTTGTTAGGAGTATATATGTCTGATTGAGATATATGAACCCCATGAGGAAGAAGCACGTTATAAAC